ATCTTAAAAATGATATATCTTTATAAGAACACTTCAAATTTAAACATCGTTTTTAATGTTATGATTTATATCTTTCATATACAAAGAAACCTTACAATACAGTGCATTCTTGCTAGCTTAAACACTAAGTGCTTGTGGCAGGCAGACAATGAAGATATCAAAGAGCTCCAGACGTTTGTCGAAGTTATGTTCTCAAAAGAAGCTTTTAATCAACGATCTGAAAGGCTTAAGAAAAGAACGTTCTTCTTTTCTCATACTATCCTCAAAGCCCGTCAAAACCAATCATTTCTTGAAATGAAACGTTAACAAAGACTAGATCAGTGACACAGATTAAGATTGTAACAGCAAAACAGTTTGTTTATATCAGTACTTTTACTCGGACAATTTGATCCTAAATGTCGTAATGTACTATAAAAATTCATTTTAAAATCATACATAAGAAATGTTTAAAATCTGTGTTTTTATATTTTGATCGGAGTTTTAAAAAGTAGTATTGACATATATGTATAAGTTTCTTTTCATTGATCGTCTCTCGTGTTAAAACGCTATGCGAGGGCACCTGAGGTCTTCCACCTCTAGTAAAGCTGGAACATCGCCATATGACCTAGAATGTGTAGGTGTGACATGAAACCCAATTAAACAAACAAACAAACAAAACGCTATGCATGTATCTGTCGTATTGCATTGCTTATCTTTTAAGTTTTGCTAAGATAATATGGAATCGAATGTCTGAATTGGAACACAATTCCACAGAAGGGATATTTTTTATAAGCGTTATGATTTAGATAATACTAGATGTGAAATTATTATTGTCAGTTTATCAATGGTATATTTGAGTATCACAATCAAAACAAAGCAGTGTAATTTTTGAAACGCTTATATATTATTGACGTTTGAAAATAGGGCAAAAAAGAAAAGGAGCATGATTAAACATCTAATTATATAGATATATCAAGAAAACTAAACGATATTGATTAACTTTGTACGGTAATAACCGTTTTGTTATTCTAAAACAAGATACTTAACACTTGATTGAAATATCATTGCGTTACATTGATTTTCTAAGATATACATTATCATACTGAATATACATATTAATGTGTTTATGATGAACTTATGATTCTCTTATGGTGTTTGCCACACACTTCTCGATGTTATAAATAAAAGCTTCTATTAAAGGAAAGTCTTTTGAAATAAAGACTCTATTTCGATTTAACGATCATGAGAAGAAAAGTGGCACTTTCTGGAATACCTAGATTATCTTGTCATTTATTCCTCTTTTTGTTTAAAAAAAGGTCATTATTCAACATTGATTAGTTTTTAAGATGCTATTATAATCATGACTGTATATTTTGAAAAGCAATTTAAAAAGCTGTCATATCACTGACATTAATTTTTCAACCATTTATACGACCAGTTCCCTTGAAGTGTTAAAGTCGAGAAAAATGAACGATACACTTTATATTTTCAAATTCACATAATTGCTTTTCTTTAAAAGGAATCAGTCGATGACGAAGACAATAATATTTTCTTATTATATGTTTTTTATTTTTTTATTTTGTTGTTGTTATTGTTTTTCTTGTACACCATAAAATCAATCAATGAAAGCCATGTTAATAGAAAATGATAAAGTATTAATCTGGGAAACATACTCCAGGATATATAACTAGACAAAATGTGCCATGGAACCCAAATTGATGATAAATTCTCAAAAAAAAATTGATAAAAGTATGACTGTTTTATTGGACTCCGACGATTTACGTGTCTAATAAAAGAGATAAACATGGAAGCAAAATTAAATTTATTTCTGATAAATGTTGTTTGTTGTAAAGAAGGGTGATATATTAACTATTTTTATATCTCAAACTATATCTAGTATGAAATTGCTTTTGCAGAAACCAGTCTTGTTATAATATATGAAACAGCGAAGATAATTTATAAATTAATTCTAAATAACATATGCTATGCTATTTAACGCGCATATTGATCTGATATAGAATAAGGCAGTTATGTATGCAAACGTAGATAAAATATTGTTAAGTGTCTTCTTATGAGCAAAACATGTTCATAAATATGTATTTCAATTAATCGAGTTTATACAATTGTAAAGTGACAATTAAAGATATTATCGATTTTGTTTTACAAGATAAAATTACCATTGGCTTTCTAAGAGAAAAGCAACATTAAAAATTCATGTCAATTAAATTTCTTATGTATATTAAATGTCTTTTATAAGAACTTCATCTTATTTAGATTTGAAGTTTCTTATGTATTTAATGATAATTTCTTATTTTGCTACTAACGTATTATGATCATATCTGTCACGCAATAATATACATTTTGTATCAAAGAATGATTATTTTGTACTACATAAAGGTATTAATTAATCCATTCATTCTAAACCTAGAGTTTGTGTCTTGAAAAAAGCAAGTTAAAAAATACACATTGTAACATTTTTTTCTGAAGTACGGGATGTTGCAGCAACATTATGAATGGTTTTGATTGTGCATATTACATGGATCATAAGAATCAATATAGATACCATATAGTCTTTGGAAATAAATATAAGATTTAACTTAGTTGTTTTTATTTATCTACACAATATTACCAAAGTCAATTAGGTGTCAATGATAATCATATTCAGTTAAAGACTAAAAACTATAATGGTCAGCATTATAAATCCGCTTTTCATTAATTGTTTTCTTTTCCAAATAGTATCAAACAAGTATTTTTAGAATATTAGAAAATTTAACCATCCGTGTGCCACGTTTCCTTTGCATTTTGCTTGATTTTTCAATCACCATGGTACGAGTATCTCAGAGTATTTTTTTCAATATGAAATAAGTCTGTTGTAGAAATTTTCTATGTACATGAATCTTTAAGGGCAATTGATAATTGCTTTTTAAATTTTATTCATCTTGAATAAATGTATGCGCGTAAAATACACTCCTATATTCACAGTTTCAAAATGACATATCTTTTTCAACACTAAAAACCAATGTTCTTAGAGTAGGAAATCTTATATAACTAAAATAGATAAACAGCTTCGGATCAATGTTAACAAGTTATATAACCCTTTTACTATCTAGATTGTTTGCTAGAACATGTTGAGTTTAATAAATACGAAATTTGGCTTGACCAGAGTTTGTAACTTGCATTACAATATCATTTATGTACATTTCTGTATATTTTGCTAAACATAACAGATCAAATTGGTTACATATAAACTTAGTAAAAAATCTGAATGTGACATATTACATTGATGTTAATGCTCAAACTACTTTTGTTGAGTGTATTTTTCAAATATAGATACACATGCAAATATATTGTTGCAGATTTGCATTGTATTATTTTTTTCAATTTCAACACAAGCCGAAACATTTACGATTCAGTTTCCTTTTTGAGACCGTTGATTAATTATATTTAATCTATATTTTTACGATCGCGAAAAATAAACCAATTGTCTATCACAGAAATTTCCATATACGGACTACTGAAATAGAAATGTAAACTTAATAAGGCAGACAATCTGCATGATTGTTATTTGAAAACTCAATTATTCGTTTCAAATAGACGCTTTTGATACAAAATGTTCGAGACAGGATTCTCCGTCTTCGATAATTTTCTGAACAGGAAACAAATTTAAGTTAAGTATCATTTAGATAATATAGTTGGCATGCAATATACTTTTTATTGAGAGGATTGATTATTAATCATCAATGTTATATATGCATACAATTCTAGTTACCTTCTTTATATATCTGAAAGTATATGATATTCATTTATTACAATATCAAACTAAGTGTTCTATTAAGTATGTGTTAAATTAATACAAAATGTACTTAATTTTCATCAACATTTCGATGAAGGGTTATCCATATATCAATGGCTAAAATACAATTAGTGATATAAACTTTATTATCTTTGTGCAAAATTCTGACACGACTACTTTGAAAACAATTTGATATCACAGCAACAGCATTGAGATCATGTTATAGCTAATGTTGCTTTACCCCTGTTTTAGCAAAAGCATATTTGTAAGATATGATTTGTAATGGTAGCCTAAACTGAGGTATGTTGTTGGAATCAGACAGTATTCTTTCTTGTATATGTGTTTGAATCTCATAAAATGATTTTTCATGTAATTTCATAAATATAATGTAATTTGTCTCCTTTCTCAATTGTTTTATTGCTGTTACCTGGTAGTAGTATTTCTCAGGATAAACATACGGGATTATAATATACAAATGACTTAAAACCTCTCTTCAAATGAGGTTACTAGAAAAAAGAACAAAATTAAAAGTGTAAGAGCAAAACTAACTCGTACATGATAATGAAATTGATTTTTGAAGATCAAATAATAGCCTCTTTGATTTTCAGAAATAGTACAATAAACGTGATGGGAAAATGTTACAGAATGCTATTATACAAATTAAAAATGAAATAACGCATATGAAAATGATTAAATGTTATCGAATGCTATAATACATAAATGAAACAATGCTTGTGGTAAATGATTAACTTCGGCAATAAAGATCACACAATAGTTCTAATATTTCTTAAATTATATTTTCACAATAATAACAATTTGATAAATATCCTTTATGTGTCCCTTAGGGGGAAGAATCAATTTATATGATTGTTATATTTGCGTGAAGCAGAAATATTTGAATGATAAGTTTTCAGATAACTCAAGATGTTATCATTAAGGCTAAGTTCTTTCTTTATTTATTTTAGTTTTGTTGTTCAGACTAAGTTTGTTTTAATCAAGGCTTAGTTATTAAGATGTTTTTTTTTCTTCCTTTTTTCTATATATTTGTAAAACCTATAAATGAATATCAATATTTTCAAGAGAAATAAAGCGCTAATAAATAAATATCAATATTTTAAAGAGAAATAAAGCAAGCAGTATGACAGAACTTTGATGTTCAGGAAAGAAATAACAAGCTTTTTTGAGTATATTCTATGATTGTTAAAACCATAAAAAATCATAGCATATTGTGGTGCCCAGACCCCTGCTTAGTGTTTCCAGGGCAGTCTGCAGCCTCACATTAACTCAGGGTTCGTTTTACACGGCCCAAGTACCAAATTATAAATGAACACAGAAGACATTTTGTAACTTAAAACTCTTTTAATTAAAATATTATATAGATCAATTAATTTAAATATACATAGTCATGGATGCCTAGAGTCTCTTATTATTATTCCTATAGATGACCAGATTTCATTAAACAAGTACCAGGTTTGGTACAATATAATGAGATACCAGATCTGGTAGTTACCAGATTGGGTACTATACCGGATTGGGTATTATACCAGATTTGGTATGAACCATTTCTGGAACAACCGTTCTCTACACTGGCAAAGTAATTATAACTGTTTAACAATAACAACAAGTGAATTTCACCTGTATCCGATCCATTTTCGGTTATTTATTCGTCTACAATTATCTACTCAATAGAGTACTTTTCTACCAGACGACCTGATACGAGATGACAACGATATGCTAACGCGCAGTATTTATAGTACCCTGTGACGTCATCACATTAATATTCAAAATGGCCGACCAGTGGCAAATTCAGAAATGTGACCAAATATTAAGCAAGATTACATGAAAATAAACGTATGTCAGCATTTAAGAATAGATAATAAACATTTATATATACAAATGGCATCTGAAAATCATAATAATGTGAGATAAAAGCAGTTACATAGAAAGTAATCATCAAAACAATGCGATGGTTCGTACTCAGAAATATTCGTACTCAAAGTCGGAAAATGAATAAATATTAAAGAACATTGATAAAATAGCCTGAGCATCACATTACCCCCACCTCTCAGGAATCGGTCCCCGATTAAGAAGTGTGGTAAGTTAATTTTTACATATTTTTTAAGTTATTTAAAGGTACAAACATTGAATACTTATTATCATTATGCTTAATTGACTTAATTGATTACTGAAATACATGTAAATAATTAACATCACCAATTAATTAAGAGTTATGTTGTTCACTTGTAGATATAATCTTTTTATAACAATTTAACAATTCAAAATAACAATTTATTTACAATTAACAATAGGAAGTCTCTTTTAGGTTACAAGTACAAAAGCAATTATGACTGTAGAACCAGTGCAGATGTCTATAAAAGATGTAAGTATACAGCCTTTAGATAATTGTTTTGTGTCAATGATTTAAAAATATCACTTTTACTTAACATGCGAATTGACTTCCATAACATATGAAAACAATAAACAATAATAATTTAACATGTCTAAAACCTTATAACATTGACTCATAATAGTACATGTATATTCCACAAAGATAATAATTAAAATGTCTTTACATATTCTTAATATAAGAAATTTGTAAGTCTCATCTGTTGAGGTAAGCAATTATGTCACTTATAATGCACTAAGTGTTCATAAATTTTGATATTTAGTAACATTGCATTTCAAAGTATAATGTCAAATGTTATATTAATAACAATAAATGAATACATGTATATTTAACATAGATGTATTCTATTGCGTCAAATTATTTTACACAAAAATTTAATGTTCATTGTGTTATTTTATAAAGTATTTCAGACACACTGAACTGGGCATGGCACAAAATCCTGTAGAATAATCACAAAATATGTATATTATGTAAGTATGTGTTTGTCTCACAAATAAAGTTAAGATAATTAATTGTCATGAAATTGGTTAAAGTTGCTTAATAAAATTTATGGCAAAATGTGTACTTTACACTAAAATTAGTTTGAAACATTAAATGTGAATTTTATTTGTATAAAGTTAAATTAATCTTTTAAACTCCACTGAAGATATCTGTAATACTGTTCCTTTAGTTTGTTCATCATGCTGATACTCTGTTTATCGGTAAATTCCTTTTGTCATATGTATTTCTTTTATCTAAAAATTCCTTTTATCTTTCAATAATTATTTTCCAAACATTCCTTTTATCATCCTGTCTATATTTGACATTACAACACTTTATTTATTCTTGTTTACACATTTTCTTTTAAACTTATCCTTTTGTCACTGCACTGTTTTTCCAGCTTTGGGAGGTTGAAATATTTCGCCTCGAGTTGTAATGCAGCCAAACTTCCTCTGTCTGATGGTAAAAGATCTCTTGACAGGTTCATCACTCCTTGTTGACGGTATCTTAAATGATTCAAGACATATGGGAATAGTTCACTGTCCCTGTCAATGAACAATTCATCTTTATTTATCACTACTTTGTCCATTATGCCTTTCACGGTGGTATTTAAAGTTGAAAATTTTCGTCCTCCTACATTCAGTGTAACTATTTCCATCTTTTGTTTTTCTTCTGTTTTCTTACTATGTCTTTCATCCTTGTCCTTTGCGTGTAGTCTCTTTTCTTCTACCCTTCCCTTTTCTTTCTCTGCTTCCATGTTTCTCTTTTCTTTCTCAAGTCTAACTTCCTTCTCTTTTCTCTTTTTCTCCTCTGCTTCTTTTGTTTCTATCTCTTTTCTTTCTTTCTCAAGTCTAAGTTCCCCCTCTTTTCTCTTTTTCTCCTCTGCTTCTTTTGTTTCTATCTCTTTTCTTTCTTTCTCAAGTCTAAGTTCCCCCTCTTTTCTCTTTTTCTCCTCTGCTTCTTTTGTTTCTTTCTCTTTTCTTTCTTTCTCAAGTCTAATTTCCTCCTCTTTTCTCTTTTTCTCCTCTGCTTCTTTTGTTTCTTTCTCTTTTCTTTCTTTCTCAAGTTTAAGTTCCTCCTCTTTTCTCTTTTTCTCCTCTGCTTCTTTCCTTGCTTCATTCTCTTTCCTTTCCTTTTCTACTCTCTGTCTCTCCTCTCTTTCTTGCCTTTGCTTTTCCTCTGCTTCCTTCACTTCTTTCTCTTTTCTTTCCGTCTCAAGTCTAAGTTCTTCCTCTTTCCTCTTTTTCTCCTCTGCCTCTTTCCTTGCTTCATCTTCTTTTATTTCCCTTTCAATTCTGAGCCTCTCCTCTCTTTCTTGTCTCTCCTTTACCTCTGCTATCTCTCGCCTTTCTTTCTCTTTTCTAAATTTTTCCTGTTTCTCTTTTCTTTCATTTTCAATTCTTAGTCTTTCCTCACTTTCTTTTCTTAATTTCTCTTCGTAACAAGGTTCCACAATTTGAAAGTCCTCCTCCAGATCAAGTAGATCCCTAACAGCAGTTACCGTTTCATCTTCTCTTGAGCTTGTACTACTTGATCTGGATGTGTCTGATGATTCAGAGCTACTTGAACTGGAACTTTCCCTTCTCTTTTTCGTACATCTATTTTCTCTGCTTTGCGGCCTTCCCCTCTTTCTTTCGAATAATACTGGTCTTGTCTGTTTCCTTATCATATTATACCCTTGCCTTTTGTCTATTATCAAATCAGGAATTGTTAGTTTAAATCTTTCCATTATGTCATCAGCTTCTTTCCCTCTTTCACCTGTAGCCTGGACAAACCTAATATAATTTTCCTTTTTGTCGTGACAGGTATTTGCTTGTGGTGTGTTTCTATGATAGACCTTGCAACAGAATCGACACTTCCATGTCACGCCAGAGTGCTGTTCTAGAATATGACTGTAACATCTGCTTCGGGTTGTAAAGGAGATATCTCCACAAATCTTACATTCAAAGGGTTTCTGAAGATAGACAAAATAAGTTTCCTAAGTATAAACTTCATTATCTTTATATTTATCCATTAATACATTTCGTGAATTTATATTTATCCATTAATACATTTCGTGAATGTACAATAATTACTTTTCAACAAGTTATGAAAGTAATTTCTTATCAAGTATTATTTATCATGTCATGTATATAATGACATCATTATATAATCTTTTCATTTATTATAATCAATTGGTAAAGAATCATATAAAATTATCTTTTCATTTTTAATAAGACATTATCAACTGAATTTTGATATATATATATATATACACAATGTGATAAAAATTAGCAACAACAACAATAGAACAGTAACAATAAAACAAATGCAATAACAAACAGTCTATACTGTTGTGAATTATAGGTGTGCTATTTACACCTATTTATTTATTTAATTAATGTATGCTTTTAGCTTATCATGACGAACAACTCTAGGTCGTTCTCTCTGACTACCTTTTATTCGATATAAAATGTTGTTAACTTTTTCAATTATTTGATATGGACCTTTCCACGGTCTTGTTAATTTTCCACTTCTACCAACTTTTCTCTGTGGGTTATAATACCAAACAGAATCACCTACTACATAAGAAGTCTGATTAGCATTTAAATCATAATTTCTTTTCATAGCATCACTTGAAATTTTTAATTTCTTTCTAGCAAAAGAATGAATTTGATAAAGTTTTTCCTCTAATTTTCTTACATAATCACTGGCATACCTGTTTTCTTTTTCAGGATTGTCTACAAGAGGAGCTCCTATCAGTAGGTCAATTGGCAACCTCATCTGAAGTTCCAAAACATCATAGAGAATGGTGTGACACCAGTAGATTGATGTACAGCAGTGTGATGTGCCATCATGCAGAAAGGTACATACTTGTCCCAATCATCACCATTTTCAGAAACAAATGCCGTTAACATATTTAGGACACTTTTATTAGTTCTTTCTACAAAACCAGCCCCCTTGAGGTCTAAAAGGTGTATTTCTTGTCTTTTTAATGTCAAACAGTTGACAGAGTTCTTTAAAAAAAGATTAGACTCAAAACTGTGGACCTTGGTCTGTATGTATACTTAAAGGTATTCCAAATCTTTGAAAAATATTTGATATGAGTGCATCTGCTTACTACTTGAGTTTCTATATTTGGTAATGGGATTGCCCTCGGCCCATTTAGAGAAAAATAATCAGTTACTACATTAAATATGAATTATTTCTTTCTGTTTTCCCTAAAGGACCTACAAAGTCTACCCCAATTCTTTCCCATCTTTCTCCGGTGACAAATTGTTTCATATACGCTTTTTGTTTCTGACGAGTCGGTTTTCTGGACTCGCACACAGTGCAATTTTCTAATCCAGTCTTCAATATCTTTTCGTAAGCTATACCAGAAAAACCTTTGTCTAACCCTAAAATATTGTTTTCTTCACACCTAAATGAAAGCTGATGTTGTTGAATTATGCATTTGTGTTAATACCTGTTTAATAAGGACTTTAGGAAGAATAATCTGATATTCTTACTGAGTTATCTATGTCACTAACCCATTTCTGTAAAGGATATCTTCTTTAATTATCAATGATTTCCCACCTATACCAATAATACTTATATTCGGCATTATATTTAGATACCATATTCCAATTTGGTTTGTTTCCAGACAACACCCATTCAGACACTGACCAATTACTGAATCTTCTTCTTTGCAACTTGGCTAAGAGCTCTAAATTTAGAATTCATTTAAGAATCAAATGTCACTGTTGTCTTCATAAATTTTGTGTTTGTTTGACTTCATTATCTGATTGTTTTGGTGCTTGTTCGATGGTTTATTTAGGTTTGTGTGTGAGCTATCCTTATTTTTGTTCAAGCAGACATTACTATCTTTATTGGACGGACCTGGTAGACATTCATGTGAAGTGTTACTGTCAGACTTGGCAGACCTGACCCCTATAGTTAACATTTCACTACTTTGACCTTGAGACTTGACAGGTTCTTTGCATCCTGCCCTATTTATTTCATTTTCAGTCAGCGAAGGTTTAATGTATGCTTTAAGCTTATCATGATGAACAACTCTAGGTCGTTCTCTGTGACTACCCTTTATTCGATATAAAATGTTGCTAACTTTTTCAATTATTTGATATGGACCTTTCCACGGTCTTGTTAATTTTCCACTTCTACCAACTTTTCTCTGTGGGTTATAATACCAAACAGAATCACCTACTTCATAAGAAGTCTGATTAGCATTTAAATCATAATTTCTTTTCATAGCATCACTTGAAATTTTTAATTTCTTTCTAGCAAAAGAATGAATTTGATAAAGTTTTTCCTCTAATTTTCTTACATAATCACTGGCATACCTGTTTTCTTTTTCAGGATTGTCTACAAGAGGAGCCCTACAATAGGTCAATTGGCAAACCTCATCTGAGTTTCCAAAATCATAGAGAAGGTGGGTGACACCAGTAGATTGATGTACAGCAGTGTGATGTGCCATCATGCAGAAAGGTACATACTTGTCCCAATCATCACCATTTTCGAACAAATGCGTTAACATATTTAGGACACTTTTAATTAGTTCTTTCTACAAAACCAGCCCTTGAGGCTAAAAGGTGTATTTCTTGTCTTTTTAATGTCAAACAGTTGACAGAACGGTTCTTTAAAAAGATTTTAACTCAAACTGTGGACCTTTGGGTTGTAGTAACTTAAGGGTATTCCAAATCTTTTGAAAAAAATATTTGATATCAGTGCATCAGCTACAACTTGAGTTTCTATTTTTGGTAATGGGATTGCTTCAGCCCTTTTGGAGAAATAATCAGTGACTACCATTAAAATGAATTATTTCTTTCTGTTTTTTCCCTAAAGGACCTACAAAGTCACCCCAAATTTTTCCCCTTTCTCCGGTGTGACAAATTGTTTCATATATAAGCTTTTTGTTTCTGACGAGTAGGTTTTTCTTGGACTAAATAGACACAGTGCATTTTCTAATCCAGTCTTCAATATCTTTTCTAAGCTTAACCAGAAAAATCTTTGTCAACCCCCTAAATATTGTTTCTTCACACCTAAATGAGCTATGTTGTTGAATTATGCATTTGTGTTAATACCTGTTTTTATAAGGACTTTAGGAAGAATAACTGATATTTCTACTGAGTTTCTATGTCACTAACCCATTTTCTGTAAAGGATATCTTTTTAATTATAATGATTCCCACTATACCAATAATAACTATATTCGGCATTATATTTAAGATACCATTATTCCCAATTTGGTTTGTTTTCCAGACAACACCCATTCGGACACTTGAACCAATTACTGAATCTTCTCTTTGCATCTTGGTAAGAGCTCTAATAAAATTTAATTCATTAATACAAGTCACTGTTGTATTCAGGTATTTTTGTGTTTGTTTTGACTCATTATCTGATTGTTTGGTGCTTGTTGGGTTTTTAATTTAGGTTTGTGTGTGAGCTATCCTTATTTTTGTTCAAGCAGACATTACCATCTTTATTGGACGGACCTGGTAAACATTCATGTGAAGTGTTACTGTCAGACTTGGCAGACCTGACCCCTATAGTTAACATTTCACTACTTTGACCTTGAGACTTGACAAATTTCTTATATTAAGAATATGTAAAGACATTTTAATTATTATCTTGGTGGAATATACATGTACTATTATGAAACAATGTTATAAGGTTTTACTTTTAGACATGTTAAATTATTATTATTTATTGTTTTCATATGTTATGGAAGTCTATTCGCATGTTAAGTAAAAGTGATATTTTTAAATCAGTGACACAAAACAATTATTTAAAGGCTGTATACTTACATCTTTTATAGACTTCTGCACTGGTTCTACAGTCATAATTGCTTTTGTACTTGTAACCTAAAAGAGACTTCCTATTGTTAATTGTAAATAAATTGTTATTTTGAATTGTTAAATTGTTATAAAAAGATTATATCTACAAGTGAACAACATAACTCTTAATTAATTGGTGTTGTTAATTATTTACATGTATTTTCAGTAATCAATTAAGCAATAAGATAATAAGTATTTAGTAGTGTTCCTTTAAATAAATAGTTAAAAAAATATGTAAAAAAAAATTAACTTACCACACTTCTTAATCGGGGACCGATTTCCTGAGAGGTGGGGGTAATGTGATGCTCAGGCTATTTTATCAATGCTTTATTACTTTTATTCATTTTCCCACTTTGAAGTACGAATATAATATTTGCTGAGTACGAACCATCGCATTATTTTGATGATTACTTTCTATGTAACTGCTTTTATCTTATATTATTATGATATTCAGATGCCATTTGTATATATAAATGTTTATTATCTATTCTAAAATGCTGACATACGTTTATTTTCATGTAATCTTGCTTAATATTTTATCACATTTCTGAATTTGCCACTGGTCGGCCATTTTGAATATTAATGTGATGACGTCACAGGGTACTATAAATACTGCGCGTTAGCATATCGTTGTGATCTCGTATCAGGTCGTCTGGTAGAAAAGTACTCTATTGAGTAGATAATTGTAGACGAATAAATAACCGAAAATGGATCGGATACAGGTGAAATTCACTTGTTGTTATTGTTAAACAGTTATAATTACTTTGCCAGTGTAGAGAACGGTTGTTCCAGAAATGGTTCATATACCAAATCTGGTATAATACCCAATCCGGTATAGTACCCAATCTGGTAACTACCAGATCTGGTATCTCATTATATTGTACCAAACCTGGTACTTGTTTACTAAAATCTGGTCATCTATAGGAATAATAATAAGAGACTTTAGGCATCCATGACTATGTATATGTAAATAAATTGATCTATATAATATTTTAATTAAAAGAGTTTTAAGTTACAAAATGTCTTCTGTGTTCATTTATAATTTGGTACTTGGGCCGTGTAAAACGAACCCCGAGTTAATGTGAGGCTGCAGACTGCCCTGGAAACACTAAGCAGGGGTCTGGGCACCACATCTGGTGTCAGAAGTGGGATAATGAATAAAAGTAATAAAGCATTGATAAAATAGCCTGAGCACAGACATTAACACAAAAAGTTTTACATATGTCCCTACTTGTCACATTTAGTAAAATAAGACAAAAAGCAACTGTAATAGAAATTGGAATTTGGGTAACTACCACTATTATTAAGATAAGACTTAATATTAACTTTTCAGTTGTGACTCTACTTTGATTAAAAATTAGTATTTACTGAGCTTTCACTAGCGCTCGGTTTGTTTTCAAAAGACAGGACAAACAGAAACATTTTCTGTACATAACACCTTTTTGTTAATTTGAACATGTTTTATCTTCAACACGTTCACAATATGAACAAACTTTTGTTTATAACAGGGACGACGACTTAATGCGTCAGCATTACCATGTATTTTACCTGGTCTATGCTTTATTTCATAGTCATAATTTTCTAAAATGCTTACCCAACGACATAACTGACCCTCTAATTGTTTAAAATTGGTAAGCCATCTTAGACTCGCATGATCTGTACGAATAGTGAATTTTCTTCCGTATAAATAATGATGGAAATGTTTTACCGCAGTAACGACAGCCAGTAATTCTCTGCGTGTCACGCAGTAGTTACGCTCAGATCTTGAAAAGCACTTAGAAAAATACGCGATTACTTTTTTCTTCTCCGTCTTGTACTTGATGGAGAAACCGCTCCCATACTTGAATTACTCGCGTCCGTATCAAGTATGAAATAATCATTTTGGGTAGGGAAGCTAGTATAGGACTTGTTATCATAGCTGTTTTTCAAAGCTTGAAATGCATTTTCACATTCTAATTGTCCATTCAAATTTCTTATCTTTTTCTGCTAAAGTATGTAAGGGTTTTGCTATGTTCGAAAATTGATAAATGTACTTTCGGTAAAATGAAACAAGTCCCAGGAAACTCTTAACATCTCTAACATTTCTTGGTGTGGGCCATTCTTTAACACTTTGAACTTTTTTTTCTGGACATGTGGAGGTCCCTTCTTCACTTACAACATGACCCAAAAATGTTACCTGCTTTTGAAAAGAAATGGCATTTTCTAGGATTTAATTTTAAGTTTGCTTGCTTTAATCTCTGTAAAGCTTCTTCAAGGTGTTTTTTAAAGTATCTTCAAAAGTCTTTGCAAATAAAATTATATCGTCTAGATACAAAACTAAAGTTTTCCAGATAAGACCCTTAAAAAACCATTTGTACTAGTCGTGTAAATACACTTGGACTATTAGACAAACCAAATGCTAACTTTTTAAACTGCCATTGTTGACCACCTTGAAGACTAAAAGCTGTTTTCGGTCTACTCTCTTTTATCAATGTCTACTTGCCAAAAACCTTTTGACAAGTCACAAGTACAAAACCATTTAGAACCTGATAAAGCGTCAAGATTATCTTCAATTCTTGGCTAGGGTTGGTATTCTTTTATTGTAACTTCATTCAATTTGCGAAAAGTCACAACAGAAACGAACAGATTTGTCAGGTTTTTGTAACCCTAATGATAGGTGATAACCAAGGTGAGCAAGCTGGTTTCGATTATCCCGTCTTCAACCCATTTTCATTATTTCATTTTCAGCCACCTCTCTTTTTGCTAGAGGTATTCTGTAAGGATAGGTTTTAATAGGGGTACTGTTTCCAGTATCTATATGGTGTTCCACTAACTTTGTGTGGCCTATATCTCTATCATTTTTTAGAGAATACATCTTGATACCTTACTAAAATTTGCCTAAGTTTACCTTTTTCCTCACTATTTAAATGAATAGAGGACCTTTCAAAAAGATCATTTAAATGTAATGGTATTTCAGTATTGTTTGGACTTGCAACATGCTCTTTGCTACTGCATACACTGAATTTATTAGGTGAACTGTTCTCATTCACTGTTACAGACTCTAAATTACCCACAACTGTATTTTTATAAATTTTACAAGGTTCTGAATTGAAATTAGCAATTCTAATAGGAAAATTACCTGTATTAGGATCTACTAAAGTTTTGGCTACCAGTAAACCAGATTTTTCTACAAAATTTGTATTGGCCTCTAATATAGCTGAACTATTCTTGTCTACTGCAACTAAAGGTTTACCCTCTAAAATTATTTCAGTTTCTGGAGGTATTTCTATTGGTCTCAGCTACAACTATTCTACAAACATGTGTTTTTCATTATCCTTTTGGTGCATATAACATGGTATCTTATCCCCTTTTAAGGTTATATACTTTTTACTGAATATTATGTCACACTGATTTTGTAATAGAAAATCTACACCAAGTATACCACCTTGCTGTATTTCAGCAATTAAAAATGTATGTACAATACTATGTCTACCTATTTTTATAGCAATTTCTGTTTTTCCTAAAAATGGAGTTGACTCTCGGTTACTGATATAAGTGAAGTTTGAACAGGATATATTACAGGTCTTTTCTGAATATGGAAGCCTTTCTCTATTGTCTCTTTATTTAAAAATGCTTACATTAGCTCCACTATCTACTAACATTGACACATGGTTACCAAAATAAATATGCTGACAAAAAGTAACCATGATCTGATTCCTAGATTATTTAGTGCAATTTGGGACCTGCATTTCTTGTCAAGTTGTGGCCCCTCCAACTTGGCATTTGTTCGTTTCCCTGATTAAAAATTTTGATTTTCTTCTATTATCATACCTTGAACTTGGTTGGTTTTCATTAGATCTAGCATTATACCTGGTGTTTCTATTTTCATGATAATTTCTAAATTGATTGAAATTTTGTCTTGTTTTGTTGTCTATTATTTTCAGGTCTAAATTCCTGAGCTTGATATGGTCTGTTAAATGTAGGTTTAGACATGTTGGGTTTAGGTCTGTAAGGGTTGCTATGAGAACTATTTTGTGACGATATAGAATTTGTAGGTTTTTCAGTACTTTCCTGTACACTGCCTATAAGTCTACTTCTCTCTGTCTGTCAGCAAGCCTATGAGCTTCCATCTTGACAAGCTATTTGTTCAGCCTCAGATATGCTTTTGGGCTAACTTCTCTTAATCGTAGTCTTATAATCAGACTCATTCAGGGCATCTATAAAACTATCTAAAGCTAAAGCATCTACAACGTCTGGGTTTGCGGTCGGATATGCTTTTCTTGTCAAATTTACGTATTGATTGGGCCAATTCAGGAATGGACTCTCCCTTTAACCTTATTCTAGTTTTTAGTTGAGTACGGAATATCTTCGGCCTTGTTTTTTCAGAACCAAATCTGCTCTTTAGTTTTAAAAAAAAATTAAACTTGAGAAATCTCTTCTTTCAGTTTCCAGAACAAAAATTCTGTTAACAGAGATTAGCAAGTACCTGTCCAATGTACTAGCCAAAATATAAGGACTTTTCAAAATATGTCCACCCATTAATTTCAGAAGTTATTTCGAAACTGTGTGAGAAAATCATGTAGATTTTCTTCTCCACTAAAATTCTGTGGTTTCCATTTCAAACCAATGTCTCTTGTCAATGAGTATCACATTATCAGCAAGAAGCTTTCTTGAAATTTTGAAACCTATATGAAATTATTACTAATATTACTTGGTCTTGATGGTGTTATATGAAAACAGGAATTTGAGGAAATTAACATTTATGCTCAGAAATGTTACATTGTTTTTCTATAATGATTGAAACTGACCTCATTAATTCAGGATGTTCTAAAATTCAGACAAACCGTGATCTTAAACAGATAAAATATCTATTTTTCTAACAGTAACCTAGTTTATTTTGTATTTTACTAGTAAACATTTTTCTAAAGTAAGGCTTAAAGTGCCTAATTTTTCTTTTACTATATTTGAAATTTTGACTTCCATAAAATTCTCAAAACTATCAATTCTAGAACTAGAATCATATTGATTTCCATTAAAGACATTTTCGGAAGAGCTTTGATCGCCTTCACTATAATTACTGTTATCCAAGGATTCAGTGTTTTTCGGATTCACAACAGAATAGCTATGATCAATATCTGATTCAGCCATTTTGTAACTAAGTAAATTATATAATTTTATCAAGGAAACAATTTAAACTCACAACCTGGAAATATTTATATATATATACTATATATTTCGTATTTGTTATAAAGACTTATAATATAAGTTCATAATTCTGTACTAATGTACCAATAAAAATTTTGTCACCATTACTTGTCATAAGTGTCAACTTATTATAATATCATTATCTTTTCCAGGTTGTCAACAGAACATCAACAGATAACCTTCCAGTGTAGAGAAAACAGAACAGAAAATTGTCAACATAAACAACATCTCAATCTCAGACAAATCTTATCCCAAATATTTAACTTTTCTTTAAATTGTCTAGCCAATTGTCAGGAGTATTCAACTTTTCAAATGGAAAAATTGTTTGTTTGTTTTTTTGTTTTTTTTTTCACTTATGTGTAATACTAACTAAATTCTAAAAAAAATCCTTGTTCTTATCTATATTTTTTATTCAATTTATCTAAAACATTTGTGTTAACCATGATCTTGTTAGACCTTGTAAATCCCACTTCTGACACCAGATGTGGTGCCCAGACCCCTGCTTAGTGTTTCCAGGGCAGTCTGCAGCCTCACATTAACTCAGGGTTCGTTTTACACGGCCCAAGTACCAAATTATAAATGAACACAGAAGACATTTTGTAACTTAAAAACTCTTTTAATTAAAATATTATATAGATCAATTAATTTAAATATACATAGTCATGGATGCCTAAAGTCTATTATTATCATACCTATAGATGACCAGATTCAGTTAACAAGTACCAGGTTTGGTAAAATATAATGAGATACCAGATCTGGTAGTTACCAGATTGGGTACTATACCGGATTGGGTATTATACCAGATTTGGTATGAACCATTTCTGGAACAACCGTTCTCTACACTGGCAAAGTAATTATAACTGTTTAACAATAACAACAAGTGAATTTCACCTGTATCCGATCCATTTTCGGTTATTTATTCGTCTACAATTATCTACTCAATAGAGTACTTTTCTACCAGACGACCTGATACGAGATCACAACGATATGCTAACGCGCAGTATTTATAGTACCCTGTGACGTCATCACATTAATATTCAAAATGGCCGACCAGTGGCAAATTCAGAAATGTGACCAAATATTAAGCAAGATTACATGAAAATAAACGTATGTCAGCATTTAAGAATAGATAATAAACATTTATATATACAAATGGCATCTGAAAATCATAATAATGTGAGATAAAAGCAGTTACATAGAAAGTAATCATCAAAACAATGCGATGGTTCGTACTCAGAAATATTCGTACTCAAAGTCGGAAAATGAATAAATATTAAAGAACATTGATAAAATAGCCTGAGCATCACATTATTGTAAGAAAAATATGGCTTTTTATGAAGATATTTTGTAGATCGTTCAACACGACATTTTTGTTCTGCTCGTGATATTTCTAGTTATTTCTTTTTGTTTGCTGTTGATGTTGTTGTTTTCTTCCTAGTTAGGTGTTTTTTTTTCAGAATTCCTTTCTTGAATAATTTATATTCACCCAAGATACGTTGCCGCCTGCAATTAAAATGCGTATTTTGCCTGCGATATGCAGGCTTAACCTCTGATTCCTTTCAAAATACCATTTTATTTAGTTTTGCCATTTATGTTCTAATTTAGGGCACATGCATTATTTCACTTTGGGAAAATGTGTCGCTTTCTATGTGTTGGTATTTACATTGTCATATTGAGTGTTCCATGACAATCGCCGTATGGACGCATCTATAGAAGTTTTATTGTTTAAACTTTTACCACTGCATGCCAAATGATGCATTCCGCTTACACTCGGAGTAACAAAATGTTATCAAATGTAAAACTCGATATCATAACGAATTTCATTTCTTTTCTCTTTTCAAAATTTTAGCAAGACATATCAAAAGAACTGTCATTCATTCAATTTGACTTCAATGTAATTCTTGCATTCATATCTATATATTTGGCGGATAATTTTATACAAATTTATTATCCTTCATAAACTTAACCTCTTTGTTATATTCATGTTTTGCATATTAAAGCCGATTAAGACTGGATAGACTGTTTCAAGTCAAACTGAAGTAAGATGCTAAATCATTAAGAATTATCCCTCTTTTTAATTCCTTAATGTGAAGTTTAAATGATTGACAAATCAAAATGTTTAAAGTGACATGTTTTCCACAATAATAAGCCAATACCGTCTTTATTTTATTTTTTAATATAATAAAAGACAGTAAAACTTAAACAAAGACTGTTGCTTTAAAATTGTATAATTATGTTATCTTAAATATCATAAACGGTATGCTTCATGACATTGCAAAACAAAATAAGTGATCATACCAATCATCTGTTAAGGAAATCAAAGAAGAAAAAACACAGCTGTACACTATTGCAATAGACCATTTACTGTTTGATGGTTTATAATTTGAACACAGCTATTTCAAGTTGATACAAATGAGCGAAACTTTCCTTAGTAAAAACAACAACAAATAAAACGCAAAAACATAACAAAACAAAAAAACAAAAACACACCACAGATAACAATCTAGAATATAAAAATTTATCAATGAAAAGTTACAATATTGACTTGCTATGTCATACATTTACTACCCTTCGTTTCAATGGATTGTATTTTTTAAGAATCCTAATGGCGCCATAAGCCGGTCGTACACATAATGAGTGTACTTATGACATTTGAATAAAGACAGATTTTATCTTATGATGAGTAAATTTCTTTTGATGACACTCATTCAGCTTCTTGTCTCTACAGTGAAGAAGTACATCGTTGACATTCAACAGTGGATTTTACTTATTTCTTTAGTCGATCTAAAGTGTTCACTTCTGTTTGAAAATTATTAATTTTAGAGTTATAATTGAAGAACATAACGGATATTGAGGGACGGCAGGTTCAATACTAGACATACATATAATGAATGAATTCAATAAAATCATATTAAGTTTCCCCTTGGCGAGCTTAACATTGTTTTACTAAACGAGTTCAATAACGTTAGACTAAGTATTAACTTTATTATAATATTCTTTTTATCAACTTAAACGCGCTTTTACGCTATGTTTGAATGCAAAACAAATGACGTCACGTCTCAACTTGGCAAGACGCTAGTGTAAAATCGTTTCTTTTTTAATGGCTTTATTACATTCCTGCGTCATGGTTTATTTGGATAAACTAGTTAACTATCATCAAAATCGTATCAGCATTCATTTGAATACTCGAGTCTTTTTATCACATAAACCCCGGTGCAGGGGTATAATAAAGCCAATCATCAAAAACTATATTACACTACTATAGTAACACTTTGACATGACGTCATTTTCGTTATATACAAACATAGCGTTAAAGCACGCTAATGCTAGCGTTACACTTTAGGCGCGGCAATAAAATATGACTCTTTTTGAAAATGTGATAGATAGAATATTATATACTCGTAGATTCAATACTAAATTTATAAACCTCGTATTATGCTCGCAAGAGGCTCGCATAATATGATTTAATTCAACTTGTTCAATAAATTTAGTATCAAATCTACACGCATAAAATATCCTCTATTTATTGATCAATTTTCTACCTGCATCTTCATTTACACTCAATTTATTCTCGTCACTCTTGTCATAGCTTTGTTAAAATATTAATATGAAAATAAATCCTTCTTACTGATCACTTCAATGATGAATTACAGCAATTATGATAAAACACCAATTATCATAAAACACGACAATCTAGCCATGACAACTGAATTCACAATTCATTTAGTCTTTCGTATTTGGTCAAATGTAAATGTATATTTCTTTAAAATTGATTTAAATTGTTCCCTTATATTTTTTTTCCGTCAACTTCTCTTAGTTATTTATCAAATAATGGTTAGGGTCGTTGACTTCAAACCACTTGCCCCTCGCCGCTGTGGGTTCAAATCCCGACAGGGACTTTGGATTCTTCCATGTGAGGAAGCTATCAAGCTAGCTTACGGAACGTCAGTGGTTCTACTCAGGTGCCCGTTCGTGCCTGAAATATAAGGAAGGGAACATAGGTCTTTCTCCACCAGTAAAGCTGGAACATCACAATTTGACCTATACTGTGCCGGTGTAACGAAAAACCCAATAGAAAAAAATCATTATTAAATAAATACCGCTTCCTTCCTTGGCATACAACTCACTTATATTATTGAATGTTAATATTAGGGGGGAAAAGATTATTTTTTTGTGTCTGATATCGGTTTATCTTCTTGCTCAATATAATATCAATTTCACTAATCGGAACATGATGATACCAATTAAGATAAATGTCCTATACTCATTGAAACATAACGTCAGAGATTGACAACATAACACCTTATGAAGAAGTTACTTATCACTTTATAATTTGGTAGCACAAACGTTCTGATTTGCATGTAACTGATATTTTCTTATGAATATCATAATTGAGTTCAGAATATAATACATTCAAACATACCAGAAGTACATACACTTTTGTTCTATGTATAAATATGTACATACTTTAAGAATGAATACAATTTTGACATTTGATGAATTAAATACTTTTTTCAAGTTAGCATGTATACAATTAAAGAATTGTTTTATATAATTAATTTCCTAAATATGCAATATCCTGCATAACTATTATGAGATATAAAATCAGCTTTTGTATTGGCGTTGAAGCGTGTCTGTGTTTTAGGGTTCGATTTCTGCATAAGCAAAATATCTTATTACAAAATATAGCTTGAATTCATTGACCTGCCAATCATAAAAACATTATTGCATTAATCTAAATATTCGATCAAACTTCGGTCTTGCCCTTGGGAATTAAAATTACAATTGAATATATAACTAATATTTGAAAAATCACACAAGCATAGAGTATACCGTCATGACATCCGGATTCAAAAATGCACAGTTGGTTATGTGATTGGCAAAAACAAATTTTGATTTGTATTTAAATGACAATTTAAGATATTTTTTTCTTAACGATGCTATTTGAAAAGAGGATAGACTTTGCAAAAATAAGTACACACCTAATATGGAAAATATTAATAAAAAATAAGACCTTCGCGGTCCCGATCTAACAGCATATGTTGTAGCAAATACAAAACCGCAGGTTACTTTTTCCGCTTTAATACTCAGTATAAATATTCTATAGGCAAAATTAAATTTTAACATAATTTATTATATGGATGTGTAGATCTTAGTAATACGAACATTACCGAAAAATTATATTTATTTATTGCACTATAAGACTCCGTTTAATTATGCTAAAGTTTATCTGACCACATCTGACTGCCTACATTTCAGAACTATACATACAACGTATATCTTTATTTATTGTGCTTTAGGCTCAGGATAATTAATCTGTAGACAAAACGTAAATTTAATCACATTTTACTGGGTACATCCCACCAACCGTACCGAAATATGTATCCAAGATTGCTATTTCGGGGAACTGATCGTGTTACCAGTTATAACAAAGTCAGGCAAAACCTTTACACGATCATATTAAAGCAATACATAATCGGTTTCTACATAGCACGGTCAGCAAGGAATCGTGCAACAATCGTTTAATGTTGTCTCGAAATATATACACTTTCATTCGTAAATTATTTAAGTATTATCAACAACAATGAAGCTCTAATTTAGATAATACGTTAAGGTTTCTTTTTAAAAACACTTATATGTAGTATGTATAATATGGAAATTTTATTCAATGTTCTTAATCATGGCCATGGCATCTTGAAAATTGTCAATTTCTTTATATATTTGTTCTAATTTTAAACATATTCGTAAATGTTCAGTATCTTCGATATTGCGGTTTATCATTGTAATTGATAACATATTAAGAACATTTTTTAATATATTTATCTATCCACCAACTGTACTATTCCTTTGAATTTTGGTTAAAGTATTTCGCTTGCTTTCTACAAATATTCCAAAAATGAGGTCGCTAGATTCGGTTCATTTAATTTTGATTTCTGTAAACCCACTGAGTGATTGCTCCGGGCGAAGACTTAGAATACCAGCAGTTGCCACTATTGTCACAATCAGGAAAATAACAAACAGCAGGCGATCAATAACAAAGGCAACATCACGCCACTCTTGAAAAGACATATCCTCCAAGCATTCTAGGTTATGTTTCTTATGCAACCATTGTATCAACTCATTCACTGAGTTTTGCTTATCTTGGTAATGTTTAAGAACAGGGTCAGAGCCACCATTTAAACTAGAGTCAGACAACAAATGGTCCAATTCTTCCTCAAAATTCTGATGTTCTTTGATCCCCTCTAGATGAATCATCTCCTGTTTATCTTTTGTAAACAATGTTGAACTTTTGCTTTCCTGCCGTTTGTAACTTCCGGTCATGTGACCGGTTGACCTGAGTTTCAGACAGAGTAATGGCGTGAAAATGGAGAAAGCAATGTCTTGATAAACTGAGGACATCGCCGAGGTCTTCCTCGTTGATGATGCAGGCTCAGGATGTAGACAGAAAGCAAGATAGATACGCACGACATTGATAATACGACCATTAGATATATACCTGAAAGTTTGAAAAGAGGCAATACTGATTCTTTTGTGGTTCCAATTTATAGCAGTTTTATGCCGTCAAAAACAGCATTTCAAAAATAGTCTTATTTAACGATGATTTCTAAAAAAATGTGACAAAACTTTGAAATAAATGAAATTTGAAATTTGAAACTTGTCGCTTTATGTTTGACAATAGATGTTTATGCATTTAACTACAATTTATACAATATGTAAACGACTATTGTATTTATTTCTATCGTACCCAATTTCCAAATTTTTAAGTTATTTGTAGGGTATCATTATCAATTACAAATGAATATTGACAGTTTTCACACTTTTAGACAACCTTTATCAAATTTTCCACTACTTCCATCATACTCAATATTTATAAATACGAACATTTAAGGTCTCTGTAACATTAAATGGCTTGTTGTAAAATATAGATACAATAAATGGCTTACTGATGAGAGAAATACTTTCAGAAGTTTGAGGCATCTTGTCAGCAACCATTAGCATGAACACTGTAATTGTCAGCAAAACAGATAGACCTAGTGTGATCTTTTCACCGCTTTCTGGTGGTAGCAAGAAACTGAATAAAATGTTAACAAATCAAAATTAATCCTGGAATAAGATTATCAATTTTATTAGACATACATGTTCAGAGCTGTGAAATTTGAAACAAAGGACAATGTGAAATAATTCTTTTACACTTAAGATAATCCTTATAACCAGCGATATTGACAAGCGTATGCCTCCATAATAGAAGCACGGTCAGCTTTTAAATACGTGCAGTTTGACAAGGTGTCGTGCCTATTGCTGCTCAAACCAGTTATTTCGGAATTGAAACAATGAAATTTTAAAACTATAAAGCAAAATGTGTTGAACTTCATAAATTAATATGAATTCAATAATATGCATTAAGGTCAAATGTAATAAAAATATAATATTATTCTATTTATTCAATAATTGTTGATCTTATTTCATGTCGTAAGTGAATACCGTTATTCGAACTTTTTTCTTGAACCAAACAAGTCAGTAGACCTTGTAATACTATTATGAACTACTATTAAAAATCTTACCCAGCCAAACATAGAAAAGATAAAATTATGCATGGTATTATGATGTTCATGAAGTAGTACTTCACGCGTCTGCGCAACCGGAAGAAGAACATAACATCCGGAAACGGCTCACTACAACAGTTGTAGACAACAGAGTTTCTTGTTACCTGCAGTTGAATATGTACTAGTGCGTTACAAACGTTTTAGTATATTAATAATACCTAAACATGCATCAATTGTACAACATATGAATATTCACATAAGTCAAATCATAGAAATATAAAAAGAGAAAGACCGGCTTTTTTTCGAATCAATACATTTTATTTAAAATAATGACTGATAAGTTCTGTTGAATTATTCATAAGTTATAATTAATAATATGATTCAATCATTAACATATTGAAAAAGTTGCTTAGATCTTTATCATGTATGAAAAACATCTCAATTGAACACATATGTAATTACATAGAAATTTGTACACAGACACCTTTGCCTTTTTAACAATTTGAATTATATCTTAATTAAAAATTAAAAATGATAATTTTCTGGTAAATCAGTAACAGTTATAAATATTATAATACATATCATGATATATTGAATGCAATTGTAGATTTTAATGTATTCTATGCTACACTACAACATCTGTATAACTAGCGGGTAGTCAATCATAATTTATGTTGTTTTGTTTAAATACCAACAATCGCAGATACGAAAAATGTTGGTATATTTCAGCCGATCCATGATTCGTCAAACCTTTGACATGTACAAATATTTAAAAATTGTATACGAGCAATCCACTGACAAATGTACATTAAAAATTAAACATAATATCAGACTGAGCTACTATATCGTCATAACGTTTCGACAGCATGAACAGGGTCATTCAAATAATTTTATTTTCCTTCTGTGATATTGAAATAATTTTAGTTGTTGATCAGACACAAACATTGAATATAAAATCATTCTCTGAGATAAAATAGCCATACATTTCCGCAGACGATAAATTACAACGTCAGATCAATAACAGTTCAGCAGACGACATAAAGTAATTGGGCGTATCATATTTCAAACATTTCCGGTTGTACTATTGTAATGCCTCAGATGGACGATTATCGAATCTTAATTAATGCCTGTTTTATGGTGATATGCATACTACAGCCATCGTCATAAGGCCAAGACTAAATGTACTTTATTTCTATGAAAAGGTACATAAATATTGTAAAAAATGTAAAAAAGTAAAAGAATATTTGAATTCTATCATTTCTTGACGGGGTTGTTAAGTCATTTATATAATGGACGGAAGATCAATCCTTTTTTAAAACCACACATTATCTTTTTAAATAATGAAATATTTATAAACATGTATTTTGCATTATCTTTCTAACAAACAGGACTCATTTATCGCATTTCATAATTGCGTAAAGTGCACTCTTGAAATGATTACGAACCGCAGAGAGTCAGTTAATATTGAGAGTTCTACGTTATTAAGTTGCTCTCGCTTTTTTCAGTAGTTTTCGTAGCACCTACATTTTTCTACGTTAGAGGAAGTTTTTTTCACTGTTGATTTATCAATATTTGAGACTTTAAAGCGTCACAAAAACGTTTTGGCTACGTATGTATTCTAGGCATAATAAGGTTCCACCCGCACATTCAGGAACTGAGAGAATGGACCCCGGACATGTCACAATTCATGTCCTTTAAGAAAATTATCCACCAAAAGGTGACCTTCAAATTTTAAATTCAGTAATTCACTGATAAATACGTAATATGTTTGCTAGTAGATTTTTGGGTCTGTAATCATTGACATACTTTACCGCATAGTTTTGATTCCAGACTGATGCATACTTTCTTTTCCAAATTAGAAATCGAACTAGTACCTACACCTAACGTACCTTTAAGCCAATCAATTTCCACTCTCCGTTATCTACGTAGTTTGATAAATCAACCGTCTCTGATCGATTAATTACGTTTACTTGGAAACCGTTATATGCCCAAGAACCAAGCTTTAAGTGGCAAACCTAAATATAATAAGAGTTTTATAAGTGCTTTCTTTTAAAAGGTCCATGCATGTATCATGCATTACAGTGATGGAACAGGTTACAATCTCCAAAGGAACGAAACCAATAATAATTCAAGAATAAAATGTATTTCTGAAATACAACTTTCAAAATAAGAATTTTATTCATGTTTTTAAAAAACAATATTTTTTTTTACAAAACTATATTTTTGTTATAAAATTGGTCGTTAAAAAGGGCAATGACGTAAAATACATAAATGTTTTAACATTCACTTATTAATTTAATTGATCAAAGAAATCAATTTATAAAACATATATTTTAAAGCAGCATGCCTCCTGAATTATGCTTATTTTCATAAACATTCCGGAAATGTATTGTGAAGTGACTAAAGAAAAATGTCTTCACATTGCAAAATGAACTTACAACCCATGTGAATTAATAAACAAAGGTCAAAATATTGGAAAAAAGCCCTTACAGCGTTAGTAACGCATTTAGAAATATTGGGAAAAATATCGTAAAATTGGTCATAAATCACACATAACATGGACACTATTACTTTTATCGTGATTCTTTTTTTCTTAATATTTCAGCACGTTTTTATCAGGTGTTATATTCTTTAACTATCTTTGCTCCTCTGGAGGCATGCAACTTATCTTTTTATATCTTCAGTTTATAAAGAATCTTGCTAAATCTGAAAAATTTTACCTGATCGTCGAAGGGGAAAAAAGTAATGTCAATCTTGCAAGAGCTTCGAAACCTGACCACTGGACCCCAGAATACACGTCCATTATCATACACCATAGCAAGACTGGGCATGTAACCGGAAGTATAGTCGTCAACACTGAAATGAGATGTCATAATATGCAAAACTATGAAAACGGGTTTTTTATATTGTTGTTTTATTGTTATTATTATTATTTTTTTAAAATTATTATTATTATTATTATTATTATTATTATTATTATTATTATTATTCATTTGCTTTTTACCCACATGAAAGGGACTCCATTGATTTTTTTTTTGTTTTGACTTGACGGGACTGAAAATATTTTTATGCAACATTTTTATACCATTTCATGAACGTTTGAACATAGAACATATTTTTCAAACATTTTTATACCATTTCTTGAAAGTCTGATAATATAACTGAAACTATTCTCGAAACATTTGTATACCAATTCATGAAAGACTAAGCATATAACATGTGTGCAAATTTTCACACCAATCCCTCAGCTCGTTTTCCCATTATAATTATTTCTAAAATTGACCTAAAAATGAAAAAAACAGCAAAGTTATTCACTCAATTAGGCTACAAATTGCACAGGGTATCGATTTTCAAATTCATTCTTTTATATTTGCAGACTGTTTCATTTTTAGTGCTGCACTTGATTAGGAAACAATTCTGGATTTATGCTTTTTGATTTGTGGCCTCGGCGGATATCCTTTAAGAAGCTATGGGTTAAGTTGCATAACGATGATTTATCCTTTTGCTTTCTTTTATGATCGTTCTTTTACATAGTGTTTTTTATTTATCAACGACAACTTAACAGCTTACCCTTTACTTTACTTCTACTTCTTACAACATTTCGGGATTTTTTTTTCAATTTAGAATTTTCTTACTTCCTTCGCTAAAAAGCTTATGCAAGCTGCGTTCTGGTGTGATGAACGATTGCGGTAACAATAGACTTTCATATTGATATTTGATTTAACAAATAAAGTCTAGCGTTTGCTTCCAAATTTATTTAAGAAGGTAATGAATATCGATATGTTTGACAAATTAACAGTCAATGTGTATAAGTTCATAACTAAAAGTTTGATTAGTTATTATTTAAAAAAAAATATTGAAAAAGGGTGGTCCCTCGAAAGCATTAATAACAGCAATTGCACACTCGTTTTGATTGAGTCTGCACAAGAGGGATAATGAATAAGTGCAACATCACATCAACTAGCACCTGCTCGAGTGGTACTCTATTTTCAACACTAAAACTGTGATAGAATCAATGATCCCGAAGGACCAGAAAAATCATTTTACCTGTTATAAAGCACGATATCGGGCAACCACAGCCGTCGACATGGTATACGAATATTGTCTGTTCCATCATAATCGCGGCGATCCCAAATCAACTTTTCATCTTTCCATTCCTACATCATAGTTGTAAGCATAAGATAATAAATCCATTTTATTGTATGATTGCATTGGTATTTGTATCATTACTCGTATTTTGATATATCTTCAGACTTTTAAGGTTTATAAACGATGACATATTTACATTTTTGACAAAATATATAATGAATCAATAAATGTATGTTATTTGGATACACCCTGCCATTCTCTTTATAATCATGTTTTATCGAAATATGAGATCTTATATTTACATATATTGTCAAGAATAATGTTCTATAAAATGGTATTAAATCACACCTACCACTTCCATCCAAACATTTGTGGTCAACACTTGGTTTTTCTCATCCTGAAAATACATGTTGATATGATTGATTATTAATTCTTACATATTCATAGTTTTATATGGTGTTCATAAGCGACATCAGTTTAAATGTATCTTTGATTTGTTAACACAACATTTAACATTTACGTTTGTATCTATATGGTTTGTTTTCATCATGAGACATGACTCATACAGATGTTTCTAAATTCACAATTTTACATTTATGTGTTCAAATGTTGAAATAGAGATAGCAAGAGTCCCTAAAGAAGGTCCAAAACAACATAATTGAAAATGTTGCACGCTCGGTTTGAATGAGCCTGTTCATGGACGGTACTGTAAAGTGCAAACTACCGTCCACGCCCCTAGCACCGGCTTAAGAAGAATTCAACATTTAAAATGAATTGGTACAATTTTGAATTTTTAAACATCCGCAGGTGTGTTCATATGGCGGTTATCATGGAACCTTCAATGTGACACTATATGCCATTCCGTGAAAAGCGGCATATGGTCCCCAAGTAAAAAAATCGTGTGCCCTAAACGAGAAAACAATGGGCGGAACTAAATAAAATGGAATTTTGAAAGGGGATCAGAGGTTATGAAGCCTGCGTATCACAGATAATACGTCAAAGACAAATTTAAAAAGCAGGCCACATATCCTAAGTGTGATTCAACAGTATTCAAGTGAGAAATACTGGAACCACCCAACAAGAAAAAAACCCAAATGTAAATAATTTAATTACCACAAGCACAACAATTATGTCGTGCTGAACGATCTTTAAGGATGGGAAATATAACATCCCTGATTTAATGTACGGGGCGACTTTTTACAGCCTCCACACGGCACAAACAACACTGATGTGGCGATAAAATAGAGATAGCAAGAATCCCTAAAGAAAGTCCAAAACAACATAATTGAAAATGTTGCAGGCTCAGTTTGATTGAGCCTGTTCATGGACGGTACTGTAAAGTGCAAAATACCGTCCACGCCCTTTAGCACCGGCTTAAGCAGAATTCAACATTTAAAATGAATTTTGAAACATCCACAGATGTGTTCATATTGCGGTTATCATGGAACATTTAAAGTCTGCTTTAACCGATGTTCGGGCACGTTGACGGTAACTTTCACTTTCCATTATCGTCCATGAACAGGTTCAATCAAACTGAGTCAGCAACATTTTCAAATTTGTCGTTTTAGGCGTTCTTTAAGGATTCCTCTTATTTCTGTTTCAAATACATTTGTTAATATTTTTAATTGATTTTCTATGATTTTTGTTATTATTTAATGTGTCCATCTTGGTACATAACTGATAGGCCTTTGTAGTTGTGTTTTGTGATAGGCTTTTGGCAGTGAACAATTGATATATCTTCCACTTTTAACAGCATTTTCAGAATTTTCTTTGATTGAGTTTATGATGCGTGTATTAAGTTGAAACTTCATAACATGGTACTAAAAGACGGACAGGTTAAAATGTTTGACTTTATATGTGTCATTCACCGTACACGGAATAATGATAACAACGGGATCACATTTCACTGCTGAATAAAGAGAACTTGTCAGACTCAGTCGGAATTGTCAAATTTAATGGTAGTCGGCTTTTTTCCTCTTCATCATTTGTTATAACAAAAGAACTATCGATTTTTTTGTCAGGAAGAGTAGCCGTGTTTGCTTTACGCACCTACGGTGCATTGATATGATTGTTATAATTGTTGACTTTGTCATGCTGGACTCCTTGCCGGATGTTCATTATTGATATATGCTTTCAATGAATGCCACCCTTCCTTGTTGATCTTATTAATCGTTCTTTAAGCGGGTGCTTGTGGGCATTTGCAGTAACCAATACCGCATATAGAATTGCCCATTTCAACCGAGCATGTCCGTATTGTCCAATCTCTAGATTCATTTCTATTTTTACTTTTGCTTTAAAGTGTCATGTACCAGATCACACGATTGTACTAGACAATAAATATTTTCTCAGAAAGACGTTTTCATCAATGATCTATCAGACGTATCAAATATGATTCGTTTGTTTCCAAACTTTTTCAAATGCTAATATAAGAAATATATTGGACAGATTTTGGAATAATGTCAAATGATGAAAGAAGTAAATCATGTCGCTGAATTTAAACTAATTTTTTATTGTTATGAAAATGAATAACGAAGGTCTCTGATACTGTTTTATATTTGTCATTTTGACTTTTTTTTTCGTCATTTAAATTGCTGATATTATGTTCAACAAAGGTATTTTCGGATCAGATTCAATTGGTTAATTTTACAAATGTAATCTATATTTTCCAACAGAGTTTCTTTATTCGCACACTGAATATAAATCACTAAGTCTAGTAGTTTAATTTAAAAGGCTTATGCAAATGTTAACATATTTTTAATTATTCAAAATAATAAAATGTTTTTTTTCTTTCTTCAGAAAGCTAGTCTTTCTTTCATTAGATAGAAAATTAGTTGTTTAGTAGACGATGTATGATTGTTAGACGTGTTATATGAAAGGTTCACCATAAACAGTATAATATAACCCAAATGCGAAAAAATAAAAACAATTTCAATTTTTATTTTACCATTTTTCATTATGAATAAAAATGATAAGGTTTTGATGTTTTTGGCGATATGGATCTTTCTTTCTAAATTGCTACTGGTGCCTTTTTCTCAAATGTTGAAAATATGATCAGGAAGATCAAAGGAGAGGCGGCGTTCAATGAAGGCAACCCCACACTAGCTAGCAAATAAAACTAGCGGCGAGGCGCCAAGGAGGATCCCAAACAAAAACAGGACAAGGCGAGTTATACTGCATAACTACAATTAATATTCCATGTAACATTTTATTTTCATGTGGAATAGAGAAAATAAAAATCCCTAAAGAAAGCCCAACACGGCAAAATATTGCAGGCTCGGTTTGATTGAGCCTGTAAAGTCTGCTTCCAGAAAATTTAGAAGCTACAACATATTGCGATATTGGATCGTTGAAGATGTTGAAAAGATGATAAGAGATGGCTCAAGTAATGTTATAGCACTTGATTTAAGGACAACACTCGTCAAAATGAAAGCGAAATTTTTGTTTGTGTCAAAAGGAGCAGAAGTAAAAAAAGTAACATTTGGCCATATAATTTTGACGGCAGGCAATGAAAAGTAAAATTTTCATTTGCCGTTTTCTTTAAAATTCTATTATTCCGGAGTTATAGAGTGTCTGTGGGGTTAAAATATGTAAGTTGTTTGAACGATTTTTATAAAATAAAATCTGCGAAATAGGTGATCTCGTAGAAACAATTAAAACAACAAAATTTATTGGAAATGTCAGTTTCGGTTTAATTGTGTCTGTTCATTAGGGGTAATGAAAATGTGTAACATTCCTCACGCCCCTAGCACCAACTTGATGAATATTCATAAAATCTGTTGAAGCTATAATTTGTTTTTGTTGAATCTTTTCCAGTTTAAAGTTATCTTCTCCTGTCTTCAAACGAATTGCTTCGCATCTAGGTAACAATGTGTCGAGTAGATCATTGAAATTATGTTGACGGGATGGGGGAGTGAAATATATGCTGTACAAGCCAAATTTATGTTACAAATCTGACACATAAATTGATCTCTCTATTAAACACTTTTATTGGACCCCAACGATTAATGTGTTTAATAACAGGAAGGACATTAAATTCTTTCTCAAATAAATAGTGTTTTATATAGACAAATCCGTTTTATAATTTCTTTACCTACGAACGCATAATTATATTTATTCTGTTTATCACTGAAATTGATAACTTATTTTGCTAGCATGGTTTAATTCCGCATGATACAAGCATGAATTTATTCAGAACACAAAAAAAATGTATACTTTTTTCTTCAGAGTTTTCTAAAGATAATTACACATGTTTCCGAGTGGTTAAGGTTATGGACTTCAAACCACTTTTCGAGCTATTTTCAAATAATTTTATCTAAAGCGTATATAAAATGTGCTTATAAAAACAATTTTAATGAAATTGTAATGCTTTTAATATGAAAAATATAAATAGGCCAATAAAGCCGGTTCTTATTCTTTCTGACAATATTTTAACGAAGATGAGTGTGTGTAATAGGACATTGCTTGGAATATAAGACTAATGTATAATTTTATACTACTTTATATCATTCCTTGTGAGAAAATAATGGTAAAATGTCGCTGTGTTGAATATCGCGTGTCATTTCGTAAATTACACTTGCCGAATGTTTTTAATATTTTACTAAAGGAAACTTTAAAATTGTGAAATTCAATAAATTTCTATTTTTCAACTCACGATGCATTTGACTAGAAACATAAATATGGGTTCATAAGACAGTCCATTTTGAGCAAAATTGATTTCAATTTTGTATTAATGTACATGCAATCACTATTCTGAAATATTGTGACAGTTACTATTCCTTTTTATTAGTTTAATATCTTGATTCAATTCTGAATTGACTGAAGTAATATGCATCCCAAAGAGGTTATGATCCGCATTATATTAGTTTATTTTGTGCCAGTAAAATATAAAGTAGTACAATTTATTTAATACAATGAGAGGAAACAAGGAGTTTCATTTTCGTACTCGATGATACACAGACATATTCCAGTATTTATTTTTCTTTTTGTTTGATTTTGTTGTACTTATTGACCAAAAGCTACTATCATGCCTCCAGTATGCCTCCATGTTCGTAATATTTTTCTTGATAATTCTGAATTCAAGTAAAATATTATAAAGTACACAAAGAAAGTAATTTACATAATGCATACGGCACTAGAAATGAACATAAATTACCAAAATTATATGCAAAAGCGGATACATACACTAATCGCACATTACATGCCAATTTAATAATTCAGTAATGAATCTTTATACTTTTCTTACAATATTACTATATTTTTCTCAAGTTTGATTGTTCTTGGAATATTTTGGCTCATCTGAAGGCTTGCAGCTTTAAATGTAAGACTTAGATCATTTTATAAAAGTAAACAAAAATCTTCAAGAAAAACACGTTTGACTATAACTTTATGTTTTGGTCTTGAAACACTTATAAAACTCACATTTATTTCTAAACAAGGTCTTGCAGTGTTTCGATAATATGCTAATAAGGACAGAGGCCAGAAAGCTTACCGACAAATAGTTGTAGATTACCGACAGATATTTGTTGCAACGTAAATGCCGGTAAGTAAAACAGACATATTTAGACGTTTTAAATCAGTTTTACTGTCATCAGTGCATAGAAATCACTGTATTGAAAATGGTTTTTGTACACATATTTATCGCAGAGCAATTACTCTGTCATCAGTTATAAAAGAAAGGAATGCAGCAGAATTTTATGTTAATGCTGGTTTCCCAAAAGTAGGGTCGTTATATATGTTACCCTTTTATATATAATGTCATATTGATTTGAATTAATATATTTGTGTTGGTCAGCTTAATTGTTATTGATTCAGATACAAAACAACAGCTGCCTGAAATACATCTAACTCAGTGACGTGGTAAATACTAAAATGAAATAGCATATTATTAATAATTACAATTTTTTGTTTATTTTTTATACTTATTCTGAAGACTCTTTTTCAAATAATTGACCCTTTTAGCGGTTGGTTTATACAAAATTTATTTTAGTTCGAATGTGTAGGAAGCTATGAGCTTATAGATACACTTTCGAATTTGTTCCTGGAACCAACCAGTACTGAGCAATGAGTGTAAAGTTTCTTTCTCAAGGACGGAGTTTGAAGACATGCGGCTAGCGATCATTAGACCTTTTAGCGGTTTATGTCTCAGGAGTAAAATCTATTTTTAGTTACAAATTATTTTGATATGCAAATACGTTCTACAACGATTTATTGCTCACCGCGCAAAAATTAATCTCCAGATTTTATGAACTGCGTTCCTGAATGAAAAATGTGGAACTTTTATAAATAATGAATTTCGTAAGGAAATCACCACAAAAAAACAATATAATTAACGTTGAAATATGAACAAACGTAAAAAAATGACACAAATTTAAGCAAATGGAGAAAGTTTGTATTATACACTACAAGACAGACAGGTGTGTAGTGAAGAAAAAAAAAATATACTAAGAAAACCACAAACTTTTGTCACAACAATAAAAATGTTAAAAATATGACATTATTGTTTTATGTCTTCGTGATAATTATGGTAGTATGTAGAATTTCAAACAACTTTTGGAAATACACTAAAAGTTGAAAAATTACGTTAAAAGGAAAAACATTAATATTGGGACATAGCAGTAAATACACTGAAGCAAAGCTTTTTAGCACTCCATTTTAAATAAGTGTATCTTATATAACAGAACTTTAAAATAGCATGGTATTGCCTACGCAACGTCAAAATATCATTCATTGTCTTTATTGTTATGGATTTTAAAGGAAGAACAACAGCGTTACCAAACCTTTAGATATAAAACTTGACGATCATACAACAGGATCACTTACATAGGAAAATATGAAAAAAAATGATAATAGATAAATATTTTCGCAATTAGACAGAAAATTTAAATCAAATTTGCTTCTTTGCTCGACTGAGATAGAATAGTTTTTTATGGTTTTAATTTTAAGTTCCTTTTACATAATAAAAATAATTGTTTTGGTTCAACAGCGGTGGCTAATGATATGATATTTTACAAGCATGGTACCTGTATAAACATTCACCATGTTGCATAAAAAATAACAATAAAGTATTTCGATTCCCGCCATGTAAAATAAATCGTGGATTGCTAAATAAATTTTAAGTTAGTGGAGATCCTTTCTACCATATCTGAGGTGTTTTGCATCCCAGAATACACATAAAACAATTTTTACGGAATATTAATACCAAAAGATATTTTTTTTACGTTTGGAAAAATACACAATTTATCTTTTTTCACTAATCAAGATACCGATCTGTGAATTTGGCATACACAAAAGCAACAAAACAAAGATCATCTTTAATAATCAGTAATAATAGTTCATACTAATGAATTTTTTTTTTTAAATTGTGTTTTACAATTTCTGATATAATTTCATAAGTTCTACGCTTTGAAATGCCGGTTTTGTTTGTATTTTATTGTTGTTGTTCTTTTGTGGTTTTTTCTTCGGGGGGGGGGGAGGGGGTGTTGGTGGAGGGGGTGGACGGTTGTTTTTTGTGTTTTTTGATGGTTTTTTTTTTGTTTCTTTTTTTCATTTTTTTTTCAATTAATACTTATTAAAAGCGAAATTTCATAACATGGTTATAAAGTAACCTTGTCGTCAAAGCGAAATAATAAACCGAGGCAAGTTTAGAAACGAAAATGTTTCTCCCTAAGTTAACGAATATGGTAATATTACGCAAAAAAACACCAGAACCAAAGTCTCACGTACTAAAATAAGAGAAATGTTTTTCTCTTTTCATAAGTCTTATTCATCATCTGAACCATTTCGGATTATATTGGAGTGGATTGCTGACTTCTGATAATATGCAAATGAAGCAGTTTCCAATCATGACCAACCCGTCTGAAGGATTACTTAAAATCCACGTCAATGCCGCACTACAATAAGTATACTGGCTGTTATATACAGGATTTAACGTATATGCAAATATTAACTGGAAGCAAAAGATACTTTATTCGTAGGTCAAATAGCAGTGTGTATAATAACCACGAAAAAGAAATCGAATGCGTCCAAGAAGTTGATGTAAATTATTTTGCTTTACTGACTTTGACTAGATTAGAGAAGCTTTGCAAATATTATGATTTTTTTAAGAACATTGCATGTCATCTATTCAGATACAAATTATGTAAACAAAACAAACAAATTGAATAGATTTAAGGTAAGAAAGAATTTCAACAATAGAAAAAATTTGGGCATAATAATTTTGAGCATTTTCATGCGCTTGCTTGTTATCTTTCGTTTTCTGATCTTTATCTATAGCACAAAAATCCTTCGCTTGAATACAATTATTTCAACAGTAACGTTAATATCTTCCATAAATTTGTTTTAACGTTTAAGATATTGCGAAAATAGTTGATTGATAAAATACGGCAAGAAAAAGATTTGATGCAATATGATCAGAGTTCATAAAGTGCCCGTAGCAAATGTTTAACACAGATCGTTGTGATCTTTATTGATTAAAGAGGTATGGTCTATATTGGACTCATTTTCAACCACTTTAAATATTTATAAAACACAACATAAATTAAAATAAAATTATTATTTTGACATTGGTAAAACAAAGTTTACCAAGTTTTACCAAGTTTACCAAGTGCTTAAATATGAACATTTATATGATGAATTATATTTTTTTTATTCTACAACAATTTTTTTTCTGTTTAATATTAATATCTTATATCGGATTGCGTATCTTACCAGCAACATCGTTTTTTAATCATTTCATGATTTGATGTCACATGTGAAACTGATCTAATCAATATTAATGTTATAGGAAATGCCAGTACCTAAATGGTGTACATAAGATGTCACTGAATTTAGAATTTTTACCTCAATCCGTACCTAAAAATGTTTACGGCATTTACTCATATCTAAATTTTGATATTTTTGGAAAAAGAAGTTGCGGTGCGTTCAAAGATCTTGTGTCGTAAAGTAAGTAAGTCTTAAATGGAAGGTGTCTCAAACTTTGAAAATAATGTTGATAGTACTAAGTCTTATAGGTGAAAAACACTCTACAAAAGAATTATTAATGTTATAGGTAAATGCTATATACATGATCCAATATGACATACCAATATAAAGCAGATAATAAAGAATTCTAGAAGAAAATATTATTATTATTCATATGTATGTATATAATAAATCACTTTAGAACTTTATAAACCTTTTGTTTCCAGATTATTTCTTGATATGATCCAAATGGTACATTTCTACCGCTTTTATCAATATCTCTTAAATACTTATGGAAAATGTGCCAAATGTAGACCAATTCACTTTAATGTTTAAACAATCAGGAATGTGTAAAGCTATAACATTGGTCTTTATATGCGGTTTATTTAAGTAATTTCCGTATTTTCTTTTTTAATAATAAAAATCACGACACTTCACGTCACTTTCTGTTCAAATTATTTGTTGTTTTATATGGTATGCTTGCATAGTTTGAGAAAGAAACTGAGTTTGAAGAGATATTGATAGTTATGATAATAACACTGTAGAAATCAATACTGAATGCGGTGTGAAAATAATTACAATATTCTAATAGACTTTCCTCTTTTTATGGCTTCTTTAAAGAAAGTTAACGAAAATCATTTTGACTGTTAATTTCAGATCAGTTTTACTAAATATAATTTTGTGAATAAATAAGTGTTCGGTTTTAACAAATCAGTCATTTAAATTATAAATATATTTATCGTTATTTCTAGCAAAACATGTTTTCAAGATCAGATTAAAATCATCAAATGAGATAGCATTTTCTTTAAAAGAATTGTAAGTGTTCAAATTGTTTTCCTTGAAACAGTAATTTGAGTGACAAATATATTTGATTGTTTTTTCTAATCACATTTAATTGGAGATCAATTATAACAAATCAATTAAAAATAAGAAAACACGCATTTAAACTAACAAATTAAGTTTCCAACTTACCAAGTCAAGAATCTGTGTTAATGTAAGCCCTAGACCAACCCCGACTGCTTTGGAAGAGTTGTAAATTGGTCGCACGGAGTTTTCGTACTTCCATAGCAAATCTGTCATTAATCGTTGTTCACTTGATATATTACTTATAGTCCGAAATCTACCTGTTAATGAATTTTCTGAAACAATAAAGCTTCAGTTATAAACGAAATATTTACAATATGAACGGTTAGATGTGATATTGAATATAGAGTAGAAGGGCACGAGGCACGCAATGTTATTATTAAAATGAACACATTTTGAAATTTGGAAACGACCATTATAAATTCAATCAGCTTTGGATGGACTCTCCAAATTTAATTCTTTAGAATATTTATAGAACAGTGTATTTAAGTAAAATTTGTTTTTACATGACAAATATGCGTGCGTGTTTTTTCAAAACAAAACTGCTGTCTTTTAATATCGAAATATTTCATTATTAACTTAATTTCAAATTTTATCTATGCTCCTTTTGCGCTTTTCGTAGTATTGAATTTACTTGCGAAAGAATTTTAAAAAAAACTCAACACATCATTAAAATTGTTATATTTCTGTTATAGAATACTTTCTAAAAATATAAATATGGACATAAGACAAAAATCTACATTTTTTAAAAAGCAAATAAAATGATTTGAAAGAGAAAACATACTGTCCTCACTATCTGGTACGATTTTCGTCATATTATTATTCCCTTTAGAATCAGCTTTTGATTTAAAATCCGATAAAATGTGCACAAAACACATCCACATGCATATTTTATTAACTCCCATTCTGACAAACGTTTCTTATTTACAGAAAAATTGAATTAAATGCGTAACCGCCTGTAACTCTTGATGAAAACGGCAACAGTCGGTATCGGGAAAAACTCTAATATCTGTAACTTTTGCCTTGTCACGATTTCCCAGAGATTTTTTTTCAGTCACCTTTGTAGTGGAAAGTTCTTAGTATGTTACTAGCTACGTCAGACAAGTAAACATTTGCAGACTGGAAGGGTTTAAAGTTACATAGTTATAATAGAAAACACATATATTCTTTTAATCACCATTCCGTATACTTAAGTGGAATAAAGTTGATCTTTAATTAATATGATATATATAGCAAATGATCATGACTGCTTTATGTTATAACACGAATATTTTATTAGAATTAAGCTATTGGTTACCATGGCAAATTAGAACATTGTTTTGGAAACTCGAAACTCAGAACAACTTTAAAATTTAGAGAATAAAATGTTTGTTGCTACCTGGTTTGGCACTAACAGTTATTGATTTAAAGAGATGTATAGCGCATTGCCACATGGTTTGATACAGTTACAAATCCACTATTAAATAGTTTAATCACTAAAACATCTATCTATCTGTCTGTCTGTCTGTCTGTCTGTCTGTCGGTCGGTCGGTCGGTCGGTCGGTCGGTCGGTCGGTCGATCGATCGATCGATCGATCGATCTGTCTTTCTGTCTGTCCGTCCGTCCGTCCGTCCAACCATCCATCCATCCATCCATCTATCTATTGCGTTTCACTTAACACCCTTTTTTTACTCTCGATTCTTTACGATTTATGACATTGTAAATCATTACATGTTTCAAATCATCTATTTTAGTGACTAGAATAAAGTATGGTCATTCTTAGAGTGTTCTCTGTAGAAGTTGTACTGTATATCATTAACGTAAATTATTTTTAATTGCTCTATTGTCTAGCTAAGTTTTTATCAGAGTAATGTATAAGTTTTTTATCATTATACCAATCTTTCAGTATTTTACCTGCATAAAATTAACACGAGTAACAATTTTATCATCATCTTTTTGAAGCGAAGGGTGTTAAATATTGATTTACAAATCATTAAATTTCTTTACGCATAAAATAATTTATTCTTTTTAACACAGTTTACTCTCTTTTCGTTTTTAGTAGATCACCCCATGGTAAATTGGCGAAATAATCAAAACACCATCTCTGTTGATTTCAATGATATTTACATTCTGTGCTTTAATACGTATCCTGGGTGAGTATTATCAAAATAAATTTACTGATCATTATACGAAATGCAATAAGTACACTCATTATGTCTACTTCCGCGAATGCACCATCAGGACTTTTGGAGAATAGAATTTGTTGAAACATATGGTAGTAGTAGAAGAAGTGGTTGCGGTGGAGGTGGTTGTGCTAGTGGTAGTAGTGGCAGTGGCAGAAGCAGTAGCTGTAGCAGTAGCAGTAGCAGTAGCAGTAGCAGAAGCAGTAGCAGTAGCAGTAGCAGTAGCAGTAGCAGTAGCAGTAGCAGTAGCAGTAGCAGTAGCAGTAGCAGTAGCAGTAGCAGTAGCAGTAGCAGTAGTAGTAGTAGTAGTAGAATTCTTAGCATATCACAGACAAAATTGTAACCTTTCATTGATAGTTCAGTTTGGAAAGAAACTGTTAACTGCATCACTCCTTGTGTTTATAAGTTCAGAATAAAACATTGATTGGTATCAACTTATCAAATCTGTAATAAAGTATATAGATAATCACACAGTATATGGTTTATCATATTATAATTTTACATGTTAACAAGCAAATACGTTGCATTTATATCCCCCGCCGAGTACTGGTTATTACTAACACAACAACAGAAGACATTAGGCTTTATTAATATATTTATCATGGCATAAACTGTAAATTAACAATTCTTTGAACTTGATAAATATTCAGGGCAATAACAGAGCCATAACTCTGTGTTAAATAGTAATATCTGGAAATGCCAATGAGATGTATGCATACTGCATAACTAATCAAGGGCCATAAATCTGAGTTATAAGTGTCTGACCGGAACAAGGCGACAATATGCACATCTCCTCTTCGTATCCTATAAAGTTGCATAGAATTCCAGCCAGTATTTATAGAGAAGTAGCACGGAAACAATTATTGCTCTGGTTGTATACTGCATAAATTATCAAGGGCCATAACTCTAAGTTAAAATGTCTGACCAGAACAAGGCGACGATATGCCAATCTCCTCTTGGTACTGAATGTTCCAATAAAGTTTCATTGAATTCCATTCCGTAGTTGCAGAGAAGTAGCGTAGAAACGAATATTTTTCTACATGCATACTGCATAACTAATCAAGGGCCATAACTCTGAGTTAAAATGTCTGACCCCAACAAGGCAATGATATGCGCATCTTCTCTTGGTATTGAAAGTTCCCATAAAGTTTCGTTGAATTCCAGCCAGTAGTTGCAGAGAAGTAGCGCGGAAACGATTTTTGTTCCATATGCATACTGCATAACTAATCAAGGGCCACAACTCGAGTTAAATTGTCGGATCGGAACAAGCTGACGATATGCGCATCTCCTCTTGATATTGATGATTCCCATAAAGTTTGGTCGAATTCCAGCGGACGGACATCGCCAAAACTAAACCCCCCTCCCGATTCCATCGGCGGGGGATAATAAACAGGTGTTTAGCATAAATCATTAATTGATATAGCATTTAGTGTTGCAAGATACATTAAAGGATATAATTATGTTTATATTATGTTAGGACAGTTTGGCATTCTGTAAAGAAACATAAAGACGTTCATTTATTATATTTGGACAATTATTTAAAAAAAATTAACTAAATGCAAAAAATCCCTATTTATACTTTGCTTAAAGCCTAAAGTCTGAAAACGAAACCCAACAAATTAAAACAGGATTTGTTGCCCGAAAGTAAGAATAAATTTTGTTTAATAAACGACACTTCCCTTTATTTGTTTTGCTAAACTTTTAGTATTCATTACGATATACTTGTTGAGTGCAATAATAAATTATATAGGACGAGAACACAGCCTCTTCAATCATATATTGGTCAAAGCACTTCCTGTGTTATAGTAAAAAAAATCCGTCGTTGTTGTTAAATGACCTCTTCGTTTCATGCCACCATTTTTTGTTTATTACATTAAGATAGAACATTTCTTTAAAATGATTTTCTACAGAAGTATTCGACTCGGAAAAATAAAACGAGGCTAGAAGAAGCACAATAATGATCTGATATTGATATTTTGGATTTAAAAAATGAAACCGTGACTAGTTACAATAAACCACATATTTGATAAAGATTCGTTGGGTCCATGAAATGAAAACGAGGTTGAAATGATAAAATTTTATCCATCCGAAAATAGTTTATATTTTGAAATTACATGGTGCAAACGCATGATAATTCTTTTAATCATATTCTAAATGTGTGAAACAGATTGTATTACTAACTATCAATATTCACTTGAAGTTGAGCGGGATTAAAATACACAGTATATACCCATAGGTAATAATGTTTTCACTCACATGCTGTCAAGTTCTTAAAAGCATACAGCAGATGCAAATTACTGATAACAACATAATAGATGTGTTTCTGTACATAACGTGTTTTGTAATCATAATTGCAAAACCCTAATGTTGCAAGAGGTTACTCTCTATAATTTGATTTAATAACGATATACGTGAATGTGAGAGGTATTTTTATCTTGCTCCCGATGAATTATAAAAAAGTTCAAGTACTAAATCTCTTCTAAATATGTTTGTTTCGATGCATTTTCAGTAACATTAATACTGTAAGAAAATATAACGGCATTTCGGTTTACCTTCTGAAAAGGGAATATCTTATGTGAAATATTGAATTAAAGCAAATAGGTGATCATCGAGACAAGATTAAATAACAACAAGAAAAACAAGAAAAGCATTGATGCAAAGCATCAAAGGGCGTCCAAACAGCAGGTGCAGATGAACTAGTAGATATATGATGACAAGATATTCTTATAAAGTTTTCAATGGTTCATTGGGTTTTACCAGAATTGTATATCACTTTTGAATGAACGGACGAAATACATTGTTCATTATTTATAACTTTGATCGGCATGCTAGAAATTAGAATATTACTTGTTATTTCTTTATGATCGTGGTTATTAAAAGCAACGGATATACATGTATACAATCATTTATAATCCATATGTGTAACGCATGATCAACACCATACTTGTGTAATTGTCCCATATTATGTTATCGCTATTAGCGAAGACCCCCTCTTAAGGTATCTGTTCACACTAAGTAACAATATGACACTTGTTATATTACCATGTTGATCATGTTGAGCATAATTGTTTATTATACAATAAATGTAATTTCTATTTTAATAAAAAAAATACAGATTTTATGAATATTGTTTTCTTTTCTTTTTTTGTGTGTGTTTTATGCGCTATTTTAATACTGAGTTTTTACGTTTACTACTATTTTAAGAAATCAATTGTCATAATGATCGACGATTATAAGTCAAAACTTAACTGGAAAAAGTCAGTAAATCATGGTTAATCTTTCAATATATAATATTGCTTATTCTTAAACCATATACATGTACATTTGTATTTTTCTTTATCATTTTTTAAATTATCAATCAATTGAATAATTCATAAAATCTGATTTGTAGCTATGAATAATTCCTCGGAATCTTTACTAAACACGAATAACAAATTAAATAAAATGTTTTAAAGTTGATAGTGTCATATTAATGCCATAAAAATGTACATTTTGTCTCAATTATTGTACATATTTATTGTTTTTATCTCATATAGATAAAATACAACATGCGATTTGTGTTGTTGGGTTTTTTTTTCGAATTGTATGTTTATGTATAATTATAATCAATCAATTCGAGAGTTGATCTGTGTTTATTAATTATTGTAACCAAACTAAGTGACAAACATTCATTTTGAAAAAAAGCTTATTTATCTGTAAAATATTTGTTCTGTTCTGTAACGATATCAAACATCTACTCCAAAACCGGGAGAGACTGGACAATAAACGTGTGGTACTATTCGCCGGTC